AATAAACAACACTATGCTTTATAACTAACCCTTATTGGAATGTCTAAGTGAATAATGCAAGATTTTAAGTCAGAGTCTTCCTTCAATAGCATTGAGAGAACTTCATCTGCAGTCACTTCAGGTCCATGGAGTGGAAGAGTAACTAAAGCCTTCTGAGTTTGCTTTTCTGATATTAATCCTTTCTCTCTAAACTTAATTACAAGCTGGTCCTTCAATTTTCTAACTGATAATGATTTTCCAACTCCTGCTTGTTTTGATGTAAAAATTCTCACTTGTGAGCTATGAATAATAAAATTTATCAATAAAAATAAAATACTTCCTCACTGGTTGATATCAACATCAGTTGCATTAACGTAGCTTTTATTATTAACTTTAATTACATTCTGCCATAAATACTTTTCTAATTGTTCCATATCTTGATCTGCTACAAGATTCCATTCCCTTTGAAATGAATAAAGATGAGATATGATGCTTGATTTCCCTTCTTCTTCATTGCTACAGATAATCACCAGTTTATACCCTAGAAAAACAGTACATAGCTGAAAAGCTTTTTGCCTTAAATCTATACCTTTATTTCTTTGAGACAAATATTTTAATAAGTCTAATGATTCTTCAGCAATAAGGCATGGTAGTTTTTCAGCATGAAGCAAGCAATAAATCTGGCTGTTCTTTTGATTACTGAGTACCCTCATCCAAAATATAGTAACCTACAAAATAATTGTGCAGATGTTTTAAATTTTTCATTACAGTCTACTTCTTCAAGTGTAGTAGATTCAGAACATAAAAAAACTTCATCAAAGGTGGGTAAAGAACTATTTTGACCAGCAGAATAAATTTTTAAAGTACAAATAAATATGTTATCTGTCAAGTGCAAATAAATTTATAGAATAAAGTATAATAATAATACCAGCAGAGGTTATAACTAGGTTTGGCATTCCTTGTTCAAATGGCTTCAAAAAAGCTCTCTCATCTAAATATTCTATCACAAATGATATTAATTTAATTGAGGTTAGATCTATGTATTCATATATACCTCTTTGAGTAGCAATTGCTTCTAAAAATCGTCCCAAACTTTCTAGTGAAATAAAATTAGATTCATCAGCAAAACTAGTTGTTTTAGAAATAAATAATAATAATAATAATAATAATAATAATAATAATAATTGATTTACTTTTCAAACCCATTGCTCTCCATCCTTTTATAAAAATACCTTGCCACATGACTAATATCAATACCATCAAAGTATTCTGGTGAAAAACTGTGCAAGGAATCAGAAGCAGATTCTGTTTTAGAAAGTGAACTTTTTTTAGTTACAAAATCATTCACCATCCATTCTTTTTGATATCTATCAATATCATCTTCATCTAACTCATCACACCATAAAATTATTTCATGAATATTTGAAATTTTTACATTAAAAAGTGCTTCAAGAATTAAATAATCTGGATATCCCAATGAAACCA